ACTTTTGACTTTCTTTGCTATAAGAATGGATTTCTGCTGTCCACCAGAACCCTAAAGTTCTCTGTAGGGCTGAGAAATGCTTTCCAGACACTTGACACTCAGACAATCTTGGTGTCTGAAGTTATTCAACCCAGGAAAAGAACTTTGCTTTTCCCTTTGCTGAACTTCACAAGATTACTCTCAGCCCGTTTCTGCAGCCTGTCTAAGCTCCTCTGCATGTCAACACAACCATGCTTCAGCTATTCCTCAGAGGTTTGTATAATCTGTGAGAACTTGCTGAGGTCTTGCTCTGTGTCAGCATCCTGGTCATTAAGGTATTGAAGTATTGTTATCAGTATCAACCCCTAGGCTATACCACTAGTCACTTGCTTCCAGCTGGACTTCATGATTCTGATCAATACTAAGTAGATCTGGTTATTTTCCAATGGACCTCTCTGTGTTCTTATGTAACTCAAGTTGTCTGCTTTTATTTGAGGATGTTGTGGGAAACAGTGAAAAATGCTATATCAGTCAAGATAAACTTCATCCAAAGCTGAATTTGATCTACATTCAAGAGGCCTTCGTTTTTTTCCAAAAGACACATGTTCCATTCTCCTTAGAATTCTGCTTCTTTTATTGCTTTATGTTTCTCAAACAAAAGTCAAGGAACTTCGATCAGTAGGTAATTGAGAAACTTTTGAACAAGACATTCTTTTATCTACAAAAGTTTATCAGAATTTGAATATTGATATTACAATAGAAAACTATATGCACCACATCTTAAGGAAAACAAAATGACATCTTAAGATTTTTTACTTCTAGCTGCATAATCACTTAGTGCAGTAAATTATGTAAATAATTTCCCCTGAAACAGACATACTGGTTTTCAATTTAAGTGACATAAAGTGAAACAGGTTTATATTATTCAAAATGCTGTCTCCTTTTTTTTCTTATTTATTTGGAATAAATTTTGTTAGGGGAAAAAACCACAATAGTCTGTGTCTCAGAAGTTTTCATTTGCTTTTGAGCATTTCTAGTTTCTAGCAGTTAAATAAGCAAAGTCAAAATTATTTATGTTTCTGAGATTCATGTAGTTATTCTGTAACAGTAAATTGATCTATTTCTTGAGGGGAAAAGGTGCAAAGAATCAAAAATAAAATAAATGAAAGCAAACAAAAAAAAACCCTTTCTGTTGGGTTATTTTCATAGAGTAATTCTAGGAAATTCTATCCCTTTTTCTTTATTTGACTTTATTGTGTTTGCCCCATATGTCTTTTCAAAAGAAAGGAAAATATTTTCTTCCCCATTTGCTCGGTCTGCTAGGAGAATAGCCAAAGCTTTTTTTTCAAGTTTAACAGTGTAACTTATACAGTCTTGGCATAAGGCTTTGATTCTTTGTTTGATTCTTTGTCAGTTGTTTTCTGCATTGTTTAATGTCACTAGGAAAAAAAGGGGAAACTTTAATCACCCACTGAGATATATTTCTATCCAGCTGGATCTCAGATTGACCAGAGGCATTGCCTATCAAAGACAAGCAAAAAAATATTGTCCTGGAACTGTCAAAAATCTTCACATTTACAATCGAACCTTAAGGGAGAAACCTTTTTCTCTCTGTTTTTTAAAATGTTTTCCTCTGGCTTTTCTTGTTAATATATGTTCTCTGATCATAGTTGACTTTGAAAATTGATCCATAAGAAAAAGGAAAAGATTCCTTTTTCAGTAGGCTAGAAGCAGTTTGCTGTAACCCAGTTTACACTTTTACCATTGAAGAAATTGCTGGGAGAAAAATGTAAGTTTGTAATTTGGGTATTCTGCTCCCAAACTGCAAACTTACATTTAGATAATTTAGAAAGGAAGCTCATGCAATGGTGTGATATCAATACCAGCTGATAATGAACGAACAGAAATTTCTTGTTGGATGTATACTATGTGGCATGCTGGAGACAGAAAAATAAAACAGATGACAGCCCTGTCTTGACTTAGCACTGCTGATGGCAAACATGAAGCACATTTTCCTGTTTTGGATTCCCCAGAATAAGAAAAGTATGGAACTACCAGAGAAAGTCCATTGAAAAGCCACAAAGCTTACTAAGGGACTGAAAACACCTCCTGGTATGTTGGGATGCTTCAGCATGGAGAAGGATCAGGAGGAATGCCATCAATGTGTACAAATACCTGAGGAAAGAGGGAGGCTCTTTGCAGTGGTGCCCAGTAACAGCACCAGAGGCAATGGGCACAAACTCAAAACCAGGAATTTCCATATGAACATCAGAAATCACTTTTTCACTGAGAGGGTGACTGATCACTGGAGCAGATGGCCCACAGAGGTTCTGGAGTCTCCATATATCCCTGGAGATATTCAAAAGTTGTCTGGACATGGTGCTGAGCAATCACCTCTAAGTATGTGCTTCTGTACACTGATATTTACCTCTCTTATACCACCACCAGCACTTATATGGAACTGACCCAGCTGAAACACAGCCCACCAAAAAAGGAAAAGCAAAAACCAAAACCAAAACAAAATAATAAAAAAATATTTAAAAAAAAAAGAACAAAGGTTTTTTGGTTTTTTCTGCTATATCCGATTCAGCTATCATGCAGCCACAGAAATATCAGTGCCAAAAGAAAAATACCAGGGCTAAAAGAGAAGAGGAAAGCACCAGCTCTTGGCAGCATGGGTGGTAACCAGCTGTGAGACAACACAGCTAGCTTTTTTGTAGCCACAGTGGGACCTACCAGGAAGCCCTATCCTTTACCACTCAGCTACTCCTGTTGTAAGTGTGCTGTACAATGAGCATGAAATAAGCCAGGAGCAGAGAATAAAACCGTCCATAACCATATGAAAGAGTTTTATTACATTTCCAGACCCTAAAGTATTGTGGAGTCAGACGTAGAGCCATCCCAGTACATACAGTTAGCTTCATTTAGCAAGGGTTATTAGTTCTGCCTTAGTCCCAGCTTTGCAGGGCTCAGAAAGCTTTTTGCAGAGCGACTCAACTGTTTCTCCTAAGCTCCAGAGTCAGAAGGGCTCATTACTTGGGACACTGGAAAAGTACACAGAGACAGTTCTTGCCTGGCAGTGTGACTGACCTAGTAAGCGTGATCAAGACTTGGTGCTCTGGAGACCTAGGCCAAGAGCAGCTGACACTGAACCAGAGCTAATAAACTGCAACTTTGAAACTGCTGGTGCACTTGGATCTGTTTCTGCCATCCTCCTCCACACTTACTGCAGTAGCGCAGTGGAGCGATATCAGTGCCTTTTAGACCTGAGCTGTCTGTGGAAGTAATAAAATTCTAAGACATAATATATGTATAATGCAGCTCTGCAGCAGGACATCTAACTCCCCCAAGAGCTTACCTATTGTTTGTTAACTGTTAGATAACTCAAAGAAGATGAGCTGTCTCCCAGAGTTTCTTTGACACCATGGGGTTAACACTGGTGTGACATCTCCCAGATGCCAATAAACATCTCATTATTGAATGAGATTTGACCAAGTAAGCTGCATTTCTGACAGACAACTATTCACTTTACAACTGTAAAAGTCACATCAGACTTCCACAAAGCAGAAGGCTTCTATATATTTTCCTGGAAATATGTGGATTTTCTTCCACGTGTCGGAATGCCACATATCGCAGTTATTTCCCAAGGGATTAAGTGAAGGAACCAGTGTACATTATTGTCATTTCAGTGGTAAGTTACATTTGATTCCTAATCAATAGAATTTCTTTTGCCAGTTTTAATGTAGGTACCGTGATATAGTACACTATTTTATGTTATACAGTAATGTAGTAGTAATTACGTAATAGTAATAGTAGTTACTTCAACTTTATACTGTGTAGTAAGAAATTATGATCCAAATTTTTCATCCATTATCTTTCATCTGTTCATTTGTCTTAATAAATACCTTATATTTTATAAATATGTTATTTGCCATCATTAAAACCTGTGTGACAAATTTTCAAACTTAAACCATTGATAGTCTGAGGCTGAGATAGATCCAGCCTCCCCTAGACTTTACCCTCTGTTAAGAGTTTTAGAAAGCAAGGGATTATCCTTGGCATGTCACGACTCAGTGGCAGTTTATTATTAAATTCTGTTCAAAGCTCCCACTCCACCAATGACAGGCTCCCTTCTAAAATAGGCCTTTATCATGCCTGTCCTGGAGTGTTTCTTTCCATGTTACCCACATTACCATTAGCTTGCTCCCAGAGCAAGAAAAATAGGCAGACAGAACAGTTAAAAGAAGGAAGAAGTTTCAGGAGAAGGAGTAAGGAAAAAATGTAGCAAAAGAAGTTGAGCTGCCAAATAATTGTATGCTGAGTGAGAAACCCTGAAACTGGCATCTGACAGAAGCATGAATATGCTAAAAAGACCTTACTGGATGAATCTGAGAGAAGCTAATCCCATATTCCACTAATGTAAAAAGTCCGGATAAGGCGATAATGTAATTAACAGCTATTATTAATTTCATGTCTTATTTTTATTTTGTCTAAATACTTTTTATTAGAAGTTACTTACTTACCTCACATAATCCTCTTTTCTTGGTTCTCAGAGGCTTGGTTTTTTCACTTTGGTTTCCCCTAATCTTTCTAATTACTTTTCAACTGTCTTCAGTTTTATCTTAGAAATACTCAGCTGTGGGCATTTTAACTTTTTACTTTTTTATTCTATATTTTCCAATATCAATTTATTTTTTCTATTCTTTCTCTCCAGACACTTTTTCTGTTGATCTGTCACATCTTTTGTCCTAGCCTTTCTTCAGTCTCTAGCTTAGAATGTATTTTCTCCTAGTCCTTTTCATTTTTGAAAAGATTCAGGAATGAACTAGAATGACTAGAGAAAAGAATTTAGCAGTACAGATGAAAGAACTAGGTGTGAAAGCTGACACAGACCTCTAAAGTTAGACAGTTCCCCTAAAACCAGGAGACAAAAGTATATCTCAGCATTCACTGTGCTGCATTAAAAAAAAATAAAAATAAAATAATAAAAAGTCCTATGTTCCAATTTTGTTGTAGGTCATTAAGAACTGAAAGCAGCAACCTCCCTAGACTAGCCAGTAAGAGAGTATGAACAAAAAGAAGTTATGTGAAAATGTCCATATCACCAGGGTTTTTTTCCACTGCTCCTGAAACAGAGTGACAGCCAGACTCCTTAGAGTATGTCAGTGTTGTATCTGAAGATATATTATTTTCTCTTCTGCACTCAGGATTTGTCACCACAGAAGTCAGCTGATATGCACTAGCATGTAGCCAAGGTAAGTAAAACAGTGATCTAAATTTCAAGAGTTTAATTCAAGCAGAAGTGACTTAAGGTAAACCCAAATTTCAGATGGAAAATGTATCAAGCATGTAAAAGAAAGCAAATGGGAGTGACCTTTGCATTCAAATATCTCAGAGGCATTTTTTGAGGAGCTAGTAGCCCTGCCAAAAATGTTCTAGCTGCTCTCTATGAGTTTTCAAGACAGACCAAATAAGAGTCAGTCTGTCAAATACATAGAAAAAGACTACAAGGAACAGGTTTATTCTGTATATATAAGTTTGTATGAAAAAGAAATCTGGTATTTGAGAATCCTTTGACCTAGAAGACAAAAGCAGAGAAAAATTCTGTGGCCACATATCAATAATGAGCTTCTTTGTCTCTGAGAGGAGTTGCTTCTGTCTTAAACTTTGGAGCTGGTTCCATCAGCAGGGTGGAAGTAGTTGGTGAGTGGTGTGTCCATAGAACTATTTACTGAGAGAGGATAGGAACAACTAATGCAACAGGAAGACTAGGTACATGACCATGCACTAGATTACACAGCACGAGATCGGACTTCTGGGGTGATAGAAAATATCACTGGATGGGAGCACACAGAGATCAAGAACTCAGGGCACTGCTGGAGAACCATTACATTCCAGGAAGATGCTTTTCTAGGGAAATAACTTCCAGATAACATCAAATAATGCATCCCCAGTAGAATACATTGTCTGCCATTAGGTTATTGTAAACTTCTGATTTTAGGTATCAAGCAAAGGAGCAAGCCTAACTTAAAATTGCTAAATAAAAATTCCTAGTCCTGCATAAATATTTGATTAAATCGGGCTTGTTATATAATTGTCCATTTTCAAACACTGTGCAGTAAAACAACTAAATAAGAATCAACAGTAAGTTCAGATAACAAGCATAATTTCCATTTTATTAACCATAACAAAAATATAAGGAAGTAGAAATATATGGATAACAAAAATTATAGCCCATAGTCTAGATACCTGAACCAATCGAAAATAAGTTCAAAGGAAAAAAAAAAACAAAAAACTATAGTAATTAATTTACACTGTTATGGTCAAGTTAGATAAAGTTATCCACCAGGCTAAAACAGTGCCAGTGAGACTTACAAGGTGCTTGAGATGAAGTGAAATAATGTCAGGGTCAATGGTATCTGGAGAAGATGTTAAATTGAGTAAAATGAGCCATGAAAGGACAGTGTTAACAGCCTGAAGATGAAGAACATTGCAAGTGTTTTCAAGGGCAATGTTGACAGAGCATTCCCATTTTAAATTAGCACTATTGTCAGGAGATAGTAGATATGGAAGTGAATCTGTTTTGTGATTTTTTTTTTTCTTTGAGCACCTCTGCAGGAAGAATAATCAGTTCTCCTCTGATAAGTCTTGAAATTATTAAATAGCTTATAACACTTAAATTTCAAAAGTGAATGTGCCTGTAACTATAATCTCTAAGATATTACCTCCACTAATAGGAAAATAAAAATTAACAAATTGCATAGATAGTGATAAAAAACTGTAATATTACATAGTATAAATATTTTTAAATAAATATAAAATAATAAATAAAGTAGAAAAACCTTTCCCCATTCTTGAAATAGCTTAAAATAAATATTATTGAGTGCTGTTTTAAGGGGAAAAAAAAAAAGTTTTGTATTAGAAATGTAAAAGGTGTCATAGAAAATAAATGGTTTAGCACTAACAGCTTTTTCTGAGTGGTGAAAAATTTATATGTGTTACAATCTATGTTCTCATAGAAAAGAAAATATTAAAATCTGGTGTGTAGGTTTCACTTGTCTCTGTTTACAGCAACATGAATGATGTTTTCACAAAAAAACCACAATAACTACCAATATTCTTACACAGTAGTTGGTGAGAATTTCCTTGGTTTCAATTGATTTAGACACTAAAAATCATTAGTGACTTTGAAAATCCTTATCATTATCTTTATTTGGATAATTGAAAATAAATATCTAGAAAAAATGTCATCCAGAACTCAATCAACACACACAAGTCAGAAAACCTCAGTCTTTTTTCAGTTACATATTCTCACTTACAGTGTTTTGAAGAAAATGCAGGGTTGAATTTATTTTGAAATAAAGCAAATTACAATTCCTTGAAAGAGTGTTTTAATATTGGTGTCATAGTAACCAAATCTTAGTCAAAACACCAGAAAAATTAGAAAATATTGTATGAGACAGTTGATAGTAGTAGAACAAAAATAGATATTTTAAGGATTCATACGCAGTAATCTGAAAATAGAGAGAGTGCTGGGGAATGGGGGAGTTGTGGTAATTTTTAACGTTTTTATCTACCTTTCTGCCTCTGCATGCTTTTTCCCTACTCCAGCATGGGCTCCTCACAAACCACTGTTCTTCCAGGGTATGTCCTCCTGCTCCAGTCTGGAGTCATCCCCATGCTGCACTGTGCTCCTCTTCATGGGTTGCAGTGGCATACCTACTCCACAGAAGTCCCACAGAGAAATCCCTGCTTCTCCATTTGTTTATGAGTAAGGATACACTATGTTTGTACTCTTTTTTATATTGTTATTTCACACCCATATGCCAATTTGAGGCTTTTTATTTTTTTCCATAGCCTACTTATTTGGTATGAAGGTAATGTGCACGTAAGCCCAAAGCAAGAAGCACTGACACTGAAATGAAGAAAATTAAATCTTTATAATTCTGTTAGCACATATGAAGGGAAACCCTGAGGAAGCAAGCACCTTCAGTTCCTTCTCCTGTGGTATCTACAAACAATGGAAATAAAAACAATAATCTTTGAAATTTAGTGTAAATAACTATTTGTCATAATAATAGATTTATATATTATACACTTTCCACACATAAGTGCTTTATATAACTCATACCTTGGGACATGATAAGTATGCTTTTGCCAGATAAATAGCAGTGTTGGCTTTCATTAATGATGACAGGGTTCACAGGACACTCATACATTGTTTAGACAATAACAGTGTTTAAATGTAGTTATCACTGAATTCTCAGTCTTGCAAACTTTTATTCAAATACTTAATTTTTCTAGTGAAAAGCGTGTTTTTATACCAAACTGGCTGCATGATAAGGCCTGCCATACCAACTTTTACATACAATAAATAAAAATTAGTAAAGAATACATATGGTTAGTTACTGGACTTTCTCTGAATCATTTACAAGTAACTGTGAGATTAGAACAAGTATATGTATTTTCTCCAGCGGCAATGTTCTTTGTGAGAAAACTTAATAATATTTTTGCTTCATAAAGATTTAATAACTGTAATTTTATTATTTTATTATCTCTCATTCTTTAATGTCAGGATAATTTTAGAGATTGTCATGCTTTTTGTTCTTTTTAATTAAAGTACATCTCAGCTGATATTCTCAGTCTCTTCTAGAAAGCCAATAGACTAAGAAAAACATCTGGGTTTATAATAGAAATGTTGACAAATCATTAAATAAAAAGATGCTGTTGGGAATCTCTCCTTTTCTTTTAGACTTCCTCAGTCCTTTGACAAGGAGCTTTACAATAGGAAATAAATCTAAAATGTGTTCATTTATATTTGAATAGAGAACTTGATATCAAGACTGAAAAGGAAACAAATTAAACCAAAAGATAAAATCACATCATGGCAACTGGTTTTCTGTTCTTTCTACTCTTAGTACATATATTGAGATACAAAATACTTTGGGAGGCAGAAATTTATTATCCAAACTTTCACTGAATCATGAAGAGCCAGTAAAGATCTAATACTAGAACAGAATGATTAGAAGTCAGAAAGGTCTGAAGAATTTTGTTATTTCTTACTGGTCGCAGTGTCCTTGACTATCCCTTTCTTAATAATTTTTGAGTATAATTTTGAACACTGATTCATAAAGCAATGATTTGCCTTACTTTTTGCTGTGCTTACACTTGTGGTCTTCCAGCTCAATAGTGCATCCCCACTCAAGGTCTGTGTCACCCATTACTATTCAATATTATACATCATATACATAATTATCTGTATAAATAATATACAACATAATATAAAATTATTCCCAGATAAAGCTCAAGTTGGAGTTCCTGACTGTGTGCATGCTAAATGCACGAAGCACAAAATTTTCCTGTGTACCTGTATGAAATATCAGGAGACCACACGACAGAACAAAAACCAGCTAAGTAGTAGGAATAGGATGTAAGAATTCTACCAAGAATTTAATTAATTCTACTGCATGTATAAAAGGAAACCTTGAAAACCGTGCTAGTGTTTATTTGAAGGCATCATCTCTATTACTGGAAAAGAGGGGTTTATGATTTTTTGACTGAGTCAATAGAATTTCACTGACCTGAGGGATCATCATCTCATTTATCTGAATGCTTTGAAAAAACAATGTATTTACCAAATGAGTTTTTCTTCCTACATAATAATGACAGCAGGATTATAATTTTACACACATGGGAGCTGTATTACAGTTTATACCTTTCTTGCAAACATGCATGCCCTTTACCATTATTCATCTTAAATTTAGTAATTATTTAAAGTCCAAACTCCTGAAATTTGAAATCAAGTTAAAATCTTCTATATTGATTTATTTATTTATAATGTAATTTGTACAAAAGAAATCCTGAGAAGAAAAAGAGCTCCCATGTTTCCCAATATCAACAATTGAAAGAAGAAATATCAGAAATTGAGTGCATCTTATATTCTTGCAATTTGATATTTTCAATCTTATTGTGTAATGTATCTCGATGACAAAATTAAAACATTTTGGAAAAGCAAAAATTATGGTCATGAGTTATCAGAATATTTTTAATTTTTTTTTTGTTTTTTGTTTTTACATAATTTGGTGTGTGCAGTATAAATTTCACCGGGTTCGTATGTATTACTGGCCATTGTTGGCATTACTCTTTAATTAATCTTGGTTCTATCCTTAAAATACATTAGAAATTAAAGATTTCCTGTGATTCTTTAATGAAGGTTTGATTTTAATTATATTCACTTACTATGTAAATTAGGTCTAAATTACTCCGTTTATTAATAACATATCTGGATATGCAAAATAAATGTCATTTAAATTTCATTAAACATGCTTGCAGTTTTGAGCTTTTCAGAAATGCATATTTAATTATGTGACAAATTAACAGATTGCTTTACTTGGTACAACAATGTTTCTTGCTAGCTGATTTAAACGTTTACAAATGTGGTACAGATGTGGACACTTTTCTTCTCTCACAACTAATAGGAGAAAAAATCTATGAAGTTAATTTTCATTTCAAAATGCAAATTAGGCTACACTGATTTCCCCATTGAATTGCAATCTGTAATCATATTAAATTTATACTATGTTCCTTCATGCTTTTCTGAACTATGTTTTCTGATGCAAACTTGTTTCTAATGTGTGAATCAACAGTTTCTAACAATGTTTCTAATTATTTTGACTTTTAATTATCAAATATTTAGGATTTAACTTTTTCAGACCTTCAGAACATTTGAGTTGCATTTCAAGAATTGAAAATAAGGGCAGATTATAAGTCAATGATGCAATACATACAATTCAAAATGAAAAGTTTACAAATGTAATCTTCTGTTTGCTTATTGCAATAAAGGAAAGATGAGGGGGTAGTAAATCTTCCTATTTCTATTGTAGTTTCTTTTTAAAAATTTGAACCCCGTTGATAAATATTTAGTATAACTTCTGGCTATATTCCCATTTTCAAAAACCAGAAAAGATAGTCAGAGATGTTAAGAAATTTGTTTAATATTTTTAGGGAAACTAGTGGTAGAACAGGAAATAAAATCCTTAAGTTCTTTAACTGTTAGGTCATACAAATATTTGGCTATAACAGGAAATCTTCCCTCTGGTATATGCAGACAAGGCTGCCCTTTACATATTTGAATCTGTTCCAGAAATAAACCTTGATATTTTGTATATTTTTCTTTAAGCTTTATTCTGTCTATAATGGGGAAGGTCTTAATCCTGCAAAGATTTTCACAAGGTTTTACACTGCATGAAGTACTGCAGGGAAGTCACTGGAGCAGCTCACAAAGAGTAAAGCTCAGCATATGTAAATTTTCTATAAACAAAGCCATTGTTTCTGTATCCCAATCTTCTATGTGATACAAATTATTTCTATGTTGCTTTTTAAAAAAATATTTCCAGAAATTAGTTATAGTATAGTGAAATGATAATTAATATTAAATAATTTCATTTAATTAGAAATGGAAGTTAGGTGTCTGTTATACATATCTGCCTTAAATCAAATGAGTTCATCATGATAAGTAGCATTAGACCACATGACTAATGAAGGCAGAATTAGGAGACAAAATGAAATTCTGTTGAAATTTTATTTCCACTTTCAAAACAAATGGAAGAAGCCTTACAAAGCCTTTATATCTCCATTACTAATATCAGTGTAGAACTGATAAGAATTATTCAGCTATTATTTTAGAGCAGGGAAGTGGCAGATAAAGCAGCTTTTCTCCTATCTCACAAAGTACGTTCCAGTCCTCAAATCCTCTCATTTCTAAAAACTCTCCTGTTCCCTGATGTATATATGTGATTCTGTATAGATAAAGGAAAGTTCAGTCAGGGCATGTCTGCCTAAAGCTCACTGAGTGTCAAACAGATATTTAGTCTGCCTGCTTTTCCAGCTAAGTTGACCCAGGTAATTCCCCATTTTAGCTAGAAATTAATTATGTCACCCAGGCATGATCAGACCTACTTGTTCTGAGGAGATGGACCCCTGCCTCTTGAAGAGAACAGTGCTGAAACTCTGGGCAATCACCTATTTTGTGAATTGTGTTTTGGAAAAATAGTCTCATGGTAGAAGTCTGCAACGTGGGAAAACCCAAGTTTTCCAGCTAAGTTTCAGAGTGAAGACACAGCATAATGGTGACCTGGAAATGCCAACAGCACTCCCCTGAATGCAATTTACATCAGATGAACAGTGAATTAAAGAAAAATATTTTGAGGAGTCATGATTTATCTGTGTACTAGTTTTATCTTTTTCCTTTTTTTTCCCCTTCTTTTTTTTTTTTTTTTTTTTTTTTTTTTTTTTTTTTTTTTAATATATTTAGATACAGCAAGGCTTTGATTCAGTGTCAGATAAAAAACCAGCCCAGAATAGAATTTTTTGGTTTCCAGAAGGAATGCTTCAAAGACCTAGATCATTATGTGGAGGGGGCATAGTCCTGCTTTTACGTTGTTTTATTACATCTCTCTCTTTGGTGTCCCTCTTCAGAACAGGACTCATTCCCTACATGCCTACATGACCATTCTGCAGTATCAATTTCCCAGCAGTCAATGCAGATTGGATGACTAAGGAACAATTATTCTCTGCTTTTAGATGTACCTTCTCCCTTCCTTGGATTTTACAGGGGATTAAGGTGGGATTTTTTCAAGTATCGAATCACCACCATTTGGGAACACATCCAACATTTTAGTTAGATGCTAAACTTTAGTTAGTAATCAAGGACAATGATTGCTTTCACTAGTCATGTAAAATTGGATTCCAAGACTTCTTGCAGCTACAGCAATATAGATCTTATTCTGTGTTTACAGCAGAAGATATACAGGTTTAACTCAAATTAGATTTTAAATAGAATCTTGCAGTAATTACAGCAGGAAAAATTGCTGCTGCACTTAAGTGCTTAAGTACTGCTGTATTTAAGCAACTAAAGAGTAATTGGGAGATCTATAAAAGGACAGAAGAGAATCAGAACTACTGGAGTAGTTTTTTCAGATCTTTAGTTTTCACATTATTAAACGAAGTAAAACTAAACTTCAAAGGGTTGCCCAATTAATTAATTAATGTTTAAAATTAATGTAATTTTTTCTAATATTTAATTTTTCCCGTTCTTCTATGGTTTCAGCTACTGTTTTAGCTATTAACTGCATCACACTGAAAATTCTTGGTGGAAAATCCCTATGTAGAAATAATCTAAATGTCAATAACCTATATTTCTATCTTTATATCTGTTTCGTGTGGTTGATATTTTTATGAATTTTAGCTGCCAGATGACAACATGCTCAGAAATAGCTGCTATACTTTTGAAACTGGAGATTTACATTAATAAGTCATTGCTTAACATCTTTCTCTTTCATTTTTGTTCTTGTCAGTTCTATTGTCATTAGGGAAATTTCAGATTAAAAAAATAAGAAACAAATCTAAACAAATGTATCTACCTTAAAAAGTGTGAAATTACTCCACCTAAAAATTCTATACAAGAATTTCAAAGGAAATCAGGGTGGTTTATTTAGATTTTAGCACATTGAAAACTTATTTTTGAACAATCAAACTGGATAAAACTAAGAAATTCAAGGAGCCATGACTAAATGTACAGTTTTAGATTCTACACCTAAAAGTAAATTTCAAGCCACCAGTTAGAAAAAGTGTTGTGGCACAGCTCATTATTAAGCAGGTTGTCAGGTCCTAATACTACTAATTTTTTACAGATGTTACTTTTGAAATATGTAATGTCAGAGCTGTTTTTTTTTATTATTATGATAATTATTTTCAAAAATGTGTGGCTATTGTTCCTGTGAAATTTTCATCAGTTATTTTCTGTTTTACTTTTGTAGTGTAAGCTGTTTTACTTATTTCTCAAAAGTGAGCTCGGAAAGATGCTCCACATACAGGAGATGCTGGTGGCAGCCAGCTGCAATCCAGGTGAGCTCAAAGGCCTTCACTTAGGACCACTGTTTATAGGGTGACAAGATAATTGTCTTTAGTCATCTGTCAATTTCCATTCTGGCTGTAACCCAAGATGGTAATTGCTGGAATTTTTCAAAAGTCTAGTAGCAATAATACTGTTCCTCTCTGGCTATGACTCAGTAAAGCAATGTTCCAGGGCTATCAGGGGATGACTGATTCTGTCTCATCCCCTTCCTTGGTTAAGCAACAGAGGCTCCTGGTACAGAGAGTGTTTCTGATAATCTCAAGGGGAAGAGCATCACCTGGGAGTCATTTATCAAAGCCAAGACTAACGAGAATTTCTGGCACTGTACAACAGCCTGTATTGGGTGAGGTGGGGATGCACCACCAAAGTGCTTTAAATTACATTTTTTTGGACAGGATTTCAACATAATTATATTCCATTGGGAACTGATAATCAGAATTGACACAACTGAAACGCCCTCTGTAGAATAAATGACAGTTACTGTTTTCACTTCTGAAATTAATCTTCAGTGTTAGACCCATAATGGCACATGCCCTTAATCACTGACACAGAACCTCTCCACAGACTTATCATTTTCAAGTGTTAGATGAGAGCAGGATGAGAATAGATTTCCTTAAAAGGATGGCATAGCCATCATGTCTTCTGGATACAAGAATATCAGTTCTGGAAGGACAAAGCTGTGACCTAATAACAACATTAGAAGGAATCAGGGAAGAAAACTCATTTATAAAATATTGTTCAAAATGGGTAACCCCAAAAGGGAGGCTGTAGGACAGATCTTTGGCTTTGTAATTTCATTCATAACAGTCACACAATAAGAGTAGGAGAAATCTGTGTTCCTTGAATTACCAGTTTATGTAATTACTCTTACACAGGTCCCAGGAACTGTGGCATAAGGGACAACAACAGAGTCTGAACCAGGAGCTGAATGCAGTTGACTCCAGTTGTTCTACAGGAGTAGGATGTAAAAGGACCTTAACTGACAGCTCAAAAGAATATCAATAATTTAAAATATATGTTTAGATGGAGGGGATGGGGGGTTTTGTTTATTCACTTGTAAGTTTGCTTTTGTGTCCAATTCTGCCCTAGTTACTGCTCTAGCACTTTGAGCACATTTGTTGCAAGTAGTTTGGTCCAAAGATTTTTAATTTACACAGGTAGATTCACAGCTAATTGGAAGTGGTCACTTATTACTTCCCCAGCACAGCAGCAAGTTTTACAACCACACCAGGAATACCATTGTCCAATATTACTGGGTGTCCAAGCTACATTCTTCATTTCCTTTACAACATTTATTTCCACTCCTTAGTGTTTTTCTCTTCATTCTAACAGAAGAGCTCAGTTATCTCACGGAACTGGTACTGGAATATAGAATCATTTGTTTTCAAATGGCCTTCTTCTGTTCAGTGATCTGTGTGAAACTAACCAGTGGCGGAAATTCAATTCCTGCAGCACAATTGCTGCACAAAAAGTGCAACTATCATCAATTTTATCAGAGGGATTAGGCAAACCCTTAGAGACAGTGTTAACACTGAGATATCTTTCTGTCAAGCACCTTACATACTTTCTTCTTTGTGTTACTCTCTAAATACATGAAGCACTACAGCCATGAATGTTGCCAATTTGTCAAACTACAAAAGCAGTACAATAACTTTCGAATTATTATATATCTGATATTAATTATCAGATAACCCCTAATCAACATTTCCATGCAAGGAACTGAGAAAGAACATAGAATGCCACACAGTCCACTTTTTTTTTGTTACTAGAATTACTTTTAGTATTATTTCTTGGGACATCAGCTGTTCCAAAGATCTAACCCAGATCCCTCCTTCAGTGCCAGTTATGTCCTCAGTTGCACTGCTCCATCCCTTGGTGGCACTTCAACAGGCTGTTTCAATAGGCTGTTGCTCCAGCAGGTGGTTTTCAGCTTCCTCCAAGACACTGAGCCCTGCTACTGGAGTGGCTCAGTCACCTACTCTGAGAGGCTTTTTTGATATCATTGTCCAAAGATCTTCTCCACACATTTGGCTGCTTAGCAACCTGCTTCTTTGGAAGAGTCTGAAGCCTTCTATAGCTCTGTGACATATCCATCAACTAAATGTGGATTCCTTGGATAGCTTAGATATTTTAAATATCATTCATAAACATGAAACAAAAGCTCTTGAAGGTCTGGATAAGAATGAATACTGTTCTGATAATATAATGTCAAAATTCCAGCAGTAATCCTTGTCTTTACATTTTTCTTTACAATTAGTTTTTAATTGGTCCACACAATTCCTGAAGGCTTGTATTACCTAATCTAAAAATGTATAAACAGTTCAAAGTATATTTTCTTTCACTGATGAAATATGCATCTTGAAGGCAGTTTATCTTATACAGGCTTAAAGATTTGTAGATTTTTGTTGATAGGTTGCAGAGCATAAAACATGCATGAAAAACTACTGCGACGTGACTTCTGAACTATTCTGTCAAAACACTTTATCACTCAGCTACTGGAACAAGTTTTGCTGCAGTGAATTAGTGCCTCTTTTCTCTCTTCATCTTAGTCTCTTGATGTGAAAGGGTGAATGTTGCCTCTCTAGTTATCACCAAAGAAAGGATAGAAAGCCTAGCACAGAGTGCGAGACACATCAGGGTGACAAGTGCTATTTCAGCATCATTAAAAGGAGGTAATTTTCAGTTGTTGAAGTGCAGAGTAGAACAATTCAGTAGCTGGATAGCACAAGATAACCACATGCATTTGACTTGTGTTCTTGCCAATTTCTGACCTTAGTATCTGTGTTTCATAGACACAGTCATCTAGATATCATTCATTACCTATCTATCTAACATGAGCAGAGGGGCAGGGGATGTTATTATTTTTTTCATGATTCACAGGCAGACATTATTTTCCATGCTTCTGTGAATCTAAATGAAAGTCAGATATCGGAAACTACATTGTCCAAGGGTAATTTATCTTAAATATTTTTCTCATTTATGCTACTGCAAACTAAGTACTGTTACACTATTGAATATAAAGTACTTTGGGTTTTGTAGCATGATTACAAGAAAGTACATGATTTAATGGGGTTGGAAAAATACAGCAAGAGTGTTACAAGGCCTTCTGAGAGAATTATCTACGTTCTGTGATTCCAATTTTTAGGAACTTTGAAGAACCCAGGAAGAATGTAATAACTTCTCTCTGTGTAGAAGTCTTGGAGATCCAAATCTATAATAACTTTCTTTGTGAAATTCTCATTGAAGTCAATGTAGTTTTGAACCCTTATCAAAAGCAAGAATAAACTTCATTGCCTCTCAATATTTTCTGTTTTATAATAATTTCCTTTATTTTTATTCAACAGAAGTACTGAAAGTACTGAATTTAGACATTATAAGGAAAAGACAAGTTAAAATGTTTGGTTCCTGCACACGTTTGGTAAATGCAAATATCTTTACATCTAAGTATCAGGACCCTTGCTTAGATGCCTAGAAATAGTCAGAAGAGTTTCTCAGAGCACTTCCTACAAACAAGCATTACAACTATGGTGGGATGAGAGATTTAGGGAGCACACCTTGACATCACTTGGTGACAAGGAGTCATGTCCTAGGATTTACACCTGTCAGGGAAGAAAAACACTCCCAATGTCATCACAGGAGATATTTCAAACACAGTTGTTTCCATTTACATTGCTATTACACTCTATTATGTGACCTCAACAGGACATGTTAACATAATAACTTTTCCAATAACCTAGAAAGACCACATATTGAGATTTTTTTGTGGAAAATCTATAACTAAAATGCTCCATGAATTGATTAATATTGCCTCCTAACACCCTATAAATTGATTAGGCTGGGTTATTTGTTCTTTCCTTACTGTGGTGCATTAAGCAACTTCTATTTAGAATTAGTTATGGTTTTTTCTTCCTTCTCTGGGAGTAGGGATATTTTAATTGATTTTTTAAATCTTCATAGGAAGGCTCAGTGTACACCTTTAACAAGG